CATAGCCGCTCTTTAGTGTTAGATGCATGTTGATTTTATCAGACGATGCTGTGATTATAAATGAGAGTGACTCCTGGTTAACATGTATTAAAAGGGGTCGTGTTTAGTCACTATTTAGTGTGGTATTTTTTGACAATATTTACTCATCATGACAGTAAAATAGGGCATTCTAAGTCAATATACTGCAGTATTTCCTCTCTCAATCAGTAGAAAATATGGTTAACACCTGGTCATGCATGGAAAAAAAATACCGTCATGTACCGTGAAACCGGTCTAATTTTGAAAAATACCGTGATATAAATTTTTGCTCATACCGCCCAGCACTAGTACATAGCTTAAATTAGTATACTCCCTCTGAAACCTATATATTTAGGGTTTTAAATTGATAAATTTTTACTAAACAGCAATATATTATTTATCTAAAGCCATAAAATGTTTAAGAGGCTTACGCCATGTTACAAAAATGAGTGCACCCTCCTGACAGTTACAGAAAAAAAAATGTTGGTTGTGTTGTTTCCTGGTGTTAATTAGGGGCAACTGATTAGCAGATGAGTCTGTCAAACCATCAGACTTACAAAAGCTGTAAATGGTTGACACAAAAGTGTAACACTAAATCACTCTCAGAATTAATGCTGGAAATCATGGAACTCACATTAGGCAGTGTTGAAGAATCTATTGGTGGAGTTTATTAACTCCAAACACAGCAAAACAAAGCCAAAGTGCAGGGCAGGTTGTGTGGTCAAAATTCAGCCAGAAGGTCAAACACAATGAAATAATCCAAACAGCAGACAGGGCAAAACAGCGATCCAAGAAATGCAATCCAAAAACAAGCAGAAAAGTCATACACAAGAAACAATGGTCAGACAATGAAAATACTTGTAATACCAGTAAACTGGCAATACTTTGCAATGAACAATACAAACAACATGGCTTATAAGGAGGACTGACAGGAAGAGAAGCACGAATGAATGGCCTGAGCATTAGTTACATAATCCCCCCTTCCTAAAAACACCTCTCGATGTTGTCTGTGCCTGTCCCCTTGGTCTTGGTGCAGGGTGATTTAGGTGTGCTCAGTGGAATTCCTGGAACAATGAAGGGTCTAGAATGTCCTGGACAGCCACCCATGATCTTCCGGGCCATATCATTCCCAGTCTATCTGGTATTGCAGCTGTCTCCTAGAGACTATTATTTCTCTCACCAGATAGGCTGAAGCTCAATCGATCTCCAATAGTGGTGGAGGTTCGGTTTCTGTGATTGTGGGGCCAGATACAGGGTGGACCAGTTTTAAAAGGGATACATAAAAGGAAGGAGAGTTGTGATTCCTGCTGGGTAGCCACAACGATTGATCCTGAGTCGACAGCCAAACCCTCCTCTGGCTGGGTTGGTAGTTGGGGTGGGGACACAGCCTGTTGTTGGCTTGAATCCTCTGGGTTCTGATAGCCCATTGAAGCCTGACATGAACACTGTCCCTCACCCATTCACTCCTCCCAATCCAGTCATCCACCACTGGTACCAGACCAAAGAACACACTGGAAGTGGGTAAGGCCTGTGGAGGTGTGGGTGAGAGAATGTTGTGCATACTTAGCCCATGGGAAGAAGTCACTCTATCCCTGTTGCTCTGTGCTACAGTATGACCTCGGGTATCATCCCAATTCTTGGTTCAACCTTTCAACCTGCCAGTTAGCCTGAGAGTGATAACCAAATTTTAGACTGACACTGATGCCCAGATTTGAGAAAATATGAAGTTTGGTTCCAAAACGCGATAAACGCCATTTTTTTAAAAATTGAGTTTCCGCCAAAATCAGTATTGTATATGGTCGGTTTTGAAAAGTCCATTTTTAATTTTACGCAAAATGCGATATCCGCCGAGTTATTCTGTCATGTTTTCTCCCTTTCTTTCCAAACCGCGACAAACGCCAGTCTCCCTTCTCTGCAGAATGCGATATATCCGCTCAACCAATCACAGTGCACCATTCCACGCACTCTAGACAGTAATG